CCGATTAGATCTCCTCGAAGATTTCAGAGACATTAGTGTTTTCGCTTTTTTGGATAGTACGAGGAAAGTTAATCGATGATACTGTTGCAATCGCATTCAAGGTTTCTTCTTCAAACGCTATTAACGCGTTCTCAAAAGTGAGTGATTCCAATCTTAAATCTCATCTTCCTTTGTCAATGTTAAGCTCTGTTTTTAGTTTTCGATGAGACCCATTTCGTTAAAATTTGTGGGTTTGTTCGATTGATTTTGTTCTATTAAGAAATCTGAAACATTTGGGTTTTGTAAAATGATAGTAGAAAAAGTTCGAAACTTTCTCAATCCTTTTTTGTTTTGTAGTCTTGATAAAGCAGTGGAGTTAGATTATCAATGGATCGAATTCGATGATGTTCGTTACCATGTTCAGGTGAATTTTTTGTTACTTACCAGCATTTTTATAACAGTTAGGTTTTGTTTGTATCAGATTCATATGATCTTGTTCAATTTATTAGGTGACAATGAAGAATCCAAATCTCTTGTTGCTTTCGGTTTCGTTACCAAATCCACCACCTGAAGCAATGTCCTTTGATGGACTTCCATTAGGAGCTATAGAAGCTATTAAAACCACTTATGGAACCGGCTTTCAAATCCTTGATCCTCCTAGAGATGGTTTTAGTTTAACCTTGAAGCTCAATTTCTCTAAAGTTCGTCCCGATGAAGGTTTCGATCAGTCTCTTTCTCTAATCGGATAAAATGTATCTTTGTTTCGGTTTTGGATGTTGGTTTTTATCGCTTTGCTGTGTTTTGTAGCGTTCAGGAACTCGTTGTTGATGAAGCTAGCTTCTATTAGAGAAGTGGTGATGGGTGCGCCGTTAAAAATCATTTTCAAGCATTTAGCTTCGAGGACGGTTGCTCCTGAGCTGGACAGGCTTGTAGCGATTATGCATAGACCTAATGAGACATTTTTCCTCGTACCTCAGGTATACTTAAATCTATAAGAATAAGAGTTTATGTTTAAGGTTTTCAAACATTTTTTCGAATTAAGTATTAGTGAGAACTTGATTGTGTGTTGTAGGCGGATAAAGTCACCGTGGCTTTTCCTATGAGATTTAAAGACTCTGTCGACACAGTACTAGCGACTTCTTTCTTAAAGGTAAGAAAATGATCAAAGTTAACATGTTTGAACCGGGTTTGATTTCTGTTATTACTGAAAAAGAGAATATTCATCTTTATAATATAGGAATTTGTAGAGGCGAGGCGTGCTGCTGCGCTTAATAATGCTCCTTCTTGTTCGTGGTCTCCAACCGCACCACAGGAATTGGAAGGAGCTCCTAAAGAAACACTATCTGCTAATGCCGGTTTTGTAACTTTTGGTAATGATCTCACTAAAAAGCATTCTGTTTTTATTTCAATGTGCATTCGTATTACCAAACCTCAAAGAAACTACCAACATTGAATTATCGATTATGTTGCAGTCATTCTTCCTCGGCATGTGGAAGGGCAAAAGCTCGATCGTACTGTCTGGAATTTGTCAACTTTTCATGCTTATGTTAGTTACCACGTCAAGGTTAATCTTTCTTTCTTATTCATTAAATTCTAAAACTTCATCTTTCTTTGCAAGTATTAACTTGTAAAACCGA